GAAAGGGTAACACTGTCGTTTTTTTTTCGGGTCGAAATTTTGAATTTCGATATCTCAGCTCTGGAAGGGTCTAGAGCCTCCATTTTTGCACTCAGGTCAAAGTCTCACAGCCCTCTATCATAATCCAGAGTTTTGAGAAGTTTGGAGAAACTTCATTTTTCGCCCGAAAAAAAAAAACGAAAGGGGTAACACTGTCGTTTTTTTTTCGGGTCGAAATTTTGAATTTCGATATCTCAGCTCTGGAAGGGTCTAGAGCCTCCATTTTTGCACTCAGGTCAAAGTCTCATGGCCCTCTATCAGAATCCAGAGTTTTGAGAAGATTGGAGAAACTTAATTTTTCGCCCGAAAAAAAAAAAACGAAAGGGGTAACACTGTCGTTTTTTTTTCGGGTCGAAATTTTGAGTTTCGATATCTCAGCTCTGGAAGGGTCTAGAGCCTCCATTTTTGCACTCAGGTCAAAGTCTCACAGCCCTCTATCAGAATCCAGAGTTTTGAGAAGATTGGAGAAACTTAATTTTTCGCCCGAAAATGAAAAAAACGAAAGGGGTAACACTGTCGTTTTTTTTTCGGGTCGAAATTTTGAATTTCGATATCTCAGCTCTGGAAGGGTCTAGAGCCTCCATTTTTGCACTCAGGTCAAAGTCTCACAGCCCTCTATCATAATCCAGAGTTTTGAGAAGATTGGAGAAACTTAATTTTTCGCCCGAAAAAAAAAAAACGAAAGGGGTAACACTGTCGTTTTTTTTTCGGGTCGAAATTTTGAGTTTCGATATCTCAGCTCTGGAAGGGTCTAGAGCCTCCATTTTTGCACTCAGGTCAAAGTCTCATGGCCCTCTATCAGAATCCAGAGTTTTGAGAAGATTGGAGAAACTTAATTTTTCGCCCGAAAAAAAAAAACGAAAGGGGTAACACTGTCGTTTTTTTTTCGGGTCGAAATTTTGAATTTCGATATCTCAGCTCTGGAAGGGTCTAGAGCCTCCATTTTTGCACTCAGGTCAAAGTCTCACAGCCCTCTATCATAATCCAGAGTTTTGAGAAGATTGGAGAAACTTAATTTTTCGCCCGAAAAAAAAAAAAACGAAAGGGGTAACACTGTCGTTTTTTTTTCGGGTCGAAATTTTGAATTTTGATATCTCAGCTCTGGAAGGGTCTAGAGCCTCCATTTTTGCACTCAGGTCAAAGTCTCACGGCCCTCTATCAGAATCCAGAGTTTTGAGAAGATTGGAGAAACTTAATTTTTCGCCCGAAAATGAAAAAAACGAAAGGGGTAACACTGTCGTTTTTTTTTTCGGGTCGAAATTTTGAATTTCGATATCTCAGCTCTGGAAGGGTCTAGAGCCTCCATTTTTGCACTCAGGTCAAAGTCTCATGGCCCTCTATCAGAATCCAGAGTTTTGAGAAGATTGGAGAAACTTAATTTTTCGCCCGAAAAAAAAAAAACGAAAGGGGTAACACTGTCGTTTTTTTTTTCGGGTCGAAATTTTGAGTTTCGATATCTCAGCTCTGGAAGGGTCTAGAGCCTCCATTTTTGCACTCAGGTCAAAGTCTCACAGCCCTCGATCAAAATCCAGAGTTTTGAGAAGATTGGAGAAACTTAATTTTTCGCCCGAAAAAAAAAAAAACGAAAGGGGTAACACTGTCGTTTTTTTTTCGGGTCGAAATTTTGAGTTTCGATATCTCAGCTCTGGAAGGGTCTAGAGCCTCCATTTTTGCACTCAGGTCAAAGTCTCACAGCCCTCTATCAGAATCCAGAGTTTTGAGAAGATTGGAGAAACTTAATTTTTCGCCCGAAAATGAAAAAAAACGAAAGGGGTAACACTGTCGTTTTTTTTTTCGGGTCGAAATTTTGAATTTCGATATCTCAGCTCTGGAAGGGTCTAGAGCCTCCATTTTTGCACTCAGGTCAAAGTCTCATGGCCCTCTATCATAATCCAGAGTTTTGAGAAGATTGGAGAAACTTAATTTTTCGCCCGAAAAAAAAAAAAACGAAAGGGGTAACACTGTCGTTTTTTTTTCGGGTCGAAATTTTGAATTTTGATATCTCAGCTCTGGAAGGGTCTAGAGCCTCCATTTTTGCACTCAGGTCAAAGTCTCACAGCCCTCTATCAAAATCCAGAGTTTTGAGAAGATTGGAGAAACTTAATTTTTCGCCCGAAAAAAAAAAAAACGAAAGGGGTAACACTGTCGTTTTTTTTTCGGGTCGAAATTTTGAGTTTCGATATCTCAGCTCTGGAAGGGTCTAGAGCCTCCATTTTTGCACTCAGGTCAAAGTCTCACAGCCCTCTATCAAAATCCAGAGTTTTGAGAAGATTGGAGAAACTTAATTTTTCGCCCAAAAAAAAAAACGAAAGGGGTAACACTGTCGTTTTTTTTTCGGGTCGAAATTTTGAATTTCGATATCTCAGCTCTGGAAGGGTCTAGAGTCTCCATTTTTGCACTCAGGTCAAAGTCTCGTGACCCTCTATCAGAATCCAGAGTTTTGAGAAGATTGGAGAAACTTAATTTTTCGCCCGAAAAAAAACAAAACGAAAGGGGTAACACTGTAGTTTTTTTTTCCGGTCGAAATTTTGAGTTTCGATATCTCAGCTCTGGAAGGGTCTAGAGCCTCCATTTTTGCACTCAGGTCAAAGTCTCACAGCCCTCTATCAGATTTCAGAGTTTTGAGAAGATTGGAGAAACTTAATTTTTCGCCCGAAAAAAAAAAAAACGTAAGGGGTACCACTGTCGGTTTTTTTTTTTTCGGGCCGAATTTTTGAGTTTCGATATCTCAGCTCTGGAAGGGGCTAAAGCCTCCATTTTTGCACTCAGGTCTAAGTCTCATGGCCCTCTATTAAAATGCAAAAAACATTTATTATTTTAAAGGTGAACAGGATTCATTTGCGTCGATCCACGTTGATAAAAACGTCTAAATGACACATTTTTAATGAAGCAGCCTAAAGTCCACTTTGGAAAATGTGTAGATGTCACGGTTTAACCCCCTCAAACGTGAAACTTACACGTTTGCGTTAACACGCTCCATTGGAGAGATATCCGGATGTTTATTCGCCTCTGCCATAACGACCTATTGGTTTTCATTAAACCGAGAAAATTGAATTTTTTTTTTATTTACGATCACTGAGAAATGTTCTATTATTTAAAATGCAAAAAAAAAAAATTATTATTTTCAAGGTGAATATGATTCATTTGCATGGATCCACGCCGAAGAAAACGTCTAAATTTCAAATGGCACTTAGAGGCTTTTGCATCTGAACTCTTCATATATATATATATATATATATATATATATATATATTATTTTCAAGGTGAAAAGGATTAATTTGCCTGGATCCACCCCGAAGAAAACGTCACGAAAACTAAATTTCACGTTTTTAATGAAGCACCCTAATGAGTAAAATGTCTATTTTTCCGGCGTCCCCCAGCTCCTCGTTTAAGCAAAAGGTACGCTAAAACAACGTATTACATCGACGTTAAACCACGTTAACCGTGTTAACCATAACCTTTTAAATACTTGACCTAGTTCCATTGCTTAGCAACGGGATGAAACTCCTGTAACTTCAGTGCCCAACCCGCATCACGACAAGACGTGAAATAATCACGTTGGTCCAATTTGGAAAACGTGTAGATGTCACGGTTTAGTTTAAACTCAAAACCATAAATAGGGCTATACTGCCCTCTTGTGTCAAATCATATTTCTATATTTCTATATTTCTATATTTACAACAAATAAAACCAAACCCGCAATAAAAGCCCATCCAATACACCCTTTATCTCCTATCTTATTTCAGGTTAGGAAATCATATCGCTAGCATCAACGTTTCTGTCTAACTTTAGCTACCTATTGTAACCGATGTCACTTTTCATCTCGCGAGCTTATACGGCTTTTAATCGGCGTTTTTTTTTTAATAAAACATACACTGAAAATGGAGAATTAACATCGCAGTCATGTGATTTAGTCAGCTTGATTAACATTATTACAATATATTACTATTTAACACAGATGTTATTTGCCAATTACATAAACTATAAGCTCAATTCATTAGTATAAATATATATTTAGTATATAAATATATATTTATAAATAAATATTTAGTATAACATTTTTAAGTATATATATTTGTATGGTCCTCGAATGTGTTCAAATATTTCACCAGTATCAGCCTTTTCACAATTTATCACTTTGCTTGTCTGTGTTTGCCCAACTTGCATTATTAAGTAAGTCAGTAGGTGACGACAAGTGACTGTCTTTATGAGTGAACAATTTAACTTTAACTTAACAGATTACTGCCAAAAAAATTGATTATCTAACCTTAGAAAGAAACAAGTTGCTGAAACCAATCTTTAATGCTAATATATAAATTGCTCATTTTCGTCTGGACACAAAAAGATTGCACTAGTGTTTGATTGAAATTCATCTAGGCTATGCAAAATAATCCTTGAAAGATTTCTCATTAAGGCCATTCCTGTTAGGAATATGGATTGTGTATTGTCAACAATAAGCAGAAACATTCTGCATTTGCATCCAAGCGTGGATCATTCATTTTAACATTTATCCTCATTCTCATATTTAAGAATCTGTCATCTTTTATGCTACTGCCAGTGCCCACTGACATACTTTTAAAGCTATTGTTATACCATTTTTATGACCTTTAAACACCCTAAAATGCACACATGTAGGTCTGAGAAATCCAAATTTTCTCAGGGGAGTATGCCCCCGAACCCCCCTAACTTCCTCACCTTTGAATGTGTGTGACTGTGTGGTAATGTGGGCTGGTATGGTTACAGTGCCAGGGATGCCAGTCTGCCGCTGCATATAGGCCTGCAATATGCATTATTCTCTGTATCGAATCATGCTATCTTATTCCCCACCCCAGCCCCTGATGTTTCGGGTTCAGCCCCTGATGTTTTTGAAACCTAGAAACGCCCCTGGGCGACACCATTGTCAAAACAATCCCCATTCACACGGATCCACGAAAAACAAATAAAACCCCCTGTAATCTGCTGCTAGGCCATTAGATGGCGATGAAACACTATAGACTGAAAACACGCATAATAAAATAATACGCATGTGCATGACGCCGTCGTCTCCAGAGATTTGCGTTTTTGTTGTTTACGCGGAGATCGTTTTCAAAAACGTGCACTTTGAAATCCGTTTTTTTTCCCGCTGTTGACGTGCAGCCAAAACGCGTAAACAGTTTTGTGTTTTTAGTTGAAAACGGTGTCATGTAAACAGCCCCTGAATTTGAAACTGAACCTTACCCTACGGTAAAAGTAACCCTAAATGTAAATCTGAATCTGAATCTCAACCTAAACGTGAGCCTGAATGTAAATGTAAATCTAAACCTGAATCTGAATGTGAACCTAAATCTCAAACTAGAATAAATGTGAATCTGAATCAGAAAGTGAATCTAAACCTAGAATAAATGTGAATCTGAATGTGAACCTGAATCTCAACCTAGAATAAATGTGAATCTGAATGAGAAAGTGAATCTAAACCTGAATCTCAACCTATAGTAAATGTGAATCTGAAAGAAACATTTTATCTAAACCTGAATCTCATAATTATAAATATGAACCTGAATGTAAATGTGAATCCAAAACTGACTGTGAATCTGAACCTGAATCTCAATCTACAGTAAATGTGAATCTGAATGTAAATGTGAATCTAAACCTGCATGTGAATCTGAACATGACTCTCAAACTACATGTGAGCCTGAATGTAAATGTAATCTAAACCCCATCTGTGTCTATTTCAGTCACTCACTCAGTTCCTGGGCTGGTCAGTGCTGAATACAGACACTTATGACAGGATGAACAAGCTGGAAAATCGCAAGGACATCTTTCAGGACATGGTCATGTACCATGTCAAGTGCAGAAAGGATGAGATTCAGAATGTCTTGGTGGGTTTCTCCGACTTGACAGGGCTTATTCCCTAGTATGCACTAATTAAAATAAATTACAGTACATTGGTAATGTAATGGCAGTACATCCTATTTGCACAGTATGAATAAACTTGATCATGTGGAGGAGCAGTGCTGTCATATATGACAATATGATTGATGGTGTAATTAAAAGGGGTTGTATGAACATAAAAAAAAATCATCTTGGAATACCAGCAGTGTGAAACTGACAGTGTGTTTTTTGTGTGTTAAGAACACACGTGAGTTGTATGGGAAAGAGCCTGATGAATGTGAAGAGGACGAGCTGGAGAATATTCTGGTAAAATAAAATAAAAAATCATACTTGGTTTAAAGTCTTGTTGTTTTGTTGCTGTGTGTCTTAATGTTGTTGTTCTCTACAGGCTGAGAAACTGCCAAACTCAAAGGTGTCAGAGATCTTTGAGTTTCACTTCTGTGACTTTGATTTCACTGAGCTGGACCTAGTGAAGTGTGGCATCAAGATGTACTATGAGCTGGGTGTGGTGGACAAGTTCCATATTCCACGTGAGGTGAGTGATGATGCCAGGTAAACTAAAGTTAGAATAACCTCCAGCTGTCATAAATCGCAAAAGGTAAAATGTTTAACAAATGTATTGTTTTTTTTTTTCATATATTGAGCATTACAACATAACACTACATATAATACATATTCATATTACTAGGGATGTGCATAAGTACATTAATGATCGATAATGCAAAAAATGATCTGTCGTGATAGTCACAACTCTGAGGCACAAATGAATGCAAATAAAAAATGAAAACAAATGAACAGATCACTCCACTTAAAGCTACAATACCTAAGATTTTATGCCGCTAGAGGGCGCTACATTCAAAACAACAACAACGGCTTTGCGTGGAGGAACGCGGAATGATGGGAACTGTTGTTTTCAACTCCACCGTGGATAAATCAGTCAGACGGGAATCGAAAATTAGTTGTCATGGATGAGGTAAAGTTCGATTTCTATAACTGTTGCGTTTAATGACATGCTTGTTTTTCATTAAACTGAAATAACCGCAAGAAAAGTAAGGTTTAAAAGTAAATTAGTTATCACAGATGTTAGGGGAGAGCCGGGACGGTTGAAACACTTTTCAGATAAACGTCGTTTTCTAAGATACAGCCAACAGTTCACATTCTGAGAAGTATTCGCGGTGAATTTGACCTTACGATTTTTTAGCTTTCGAGTTTTTCACAAAGTTCTCTCCATTTAGGAAATGCCACACTGATGTTGAGCTGGTTTTATTTCTCTTGTCCCAGATTCTTGGGTCGTTTGTTTGACCCGTTCGCGTTTATGAGACTTGTCTTTGTAGACAGAACCAGGTGCAATCGCTAAAGAATAATTGTGCTCCATTCCATAACAAATGCGCGAAACAAGCTGACGTTTGTTGATTGAAAGACGCTAACGCACAACTACAACTTCCGCATTTGTCCAGGACTACACGCAGTACGAGCGGAAACCGAGGTAACGCGGATATGACGCGATTTACTGGCGACTCCCAGCTCACATGCCCCGTTTCCTTGGTTAAAATCTCAATTTCCTTGCGATTTAAACATTGTTTGAAACATTTGGAATATAGTAAGTTATCATCTTAACTAAATATATAACACTGGCCTTGTGATTTTGGGATATTTTAATGCAAAAATCTTAGGTATTCCACCTTTAAGGACCTGTAAAATATGGCACAATATGACACCGAGTGCTAAACTCCGATCAAGCTAGTCAATGAAAACAATGTGGCAGCTTAGTATGGTTTTGCACTAATCTGCAGGTAGCACAAAAAGATGGCCTTTGAGGTGTTTTAATTTATCTGATCACAGTCTTTAGCACCAACCACAATATAGTCAGATAACACTACTAATCAGTTACTAAAATGTTTGAGAACATCTAAGAAATATTTTAAGAATTGTACTTAGGAACGTATACGAACTTCTCAGAATTTAACTTTTTAAATTCCTTAACTACTTATTTAGGAAGATTTTCATGGCTCTCTAGATATTGCTTGGGTACCAATTTTTGCCCATTTTGTCATTTGCAAAACAAGATATAATTCATGTGCACAACACAAATGGTGCAGTGCGAGATATGCACCAAAGTTTAATATTTAAAGTTATTAACATTGTCTTATGTATGTACTGTTCACCCTAGTGAGTACCCAACTATTGCTGCTACAAGTCATTAAAGGGTTAGTTCACCCAAAAATGAAAATTAAGTCATTAATTACTCACCCCCATCGTCTTCTGAACAAAAATGCAGATATTTTTGATTAAATTTGAGAGATGGATCACTCCTACATAGGCTGCCTTAGGGATCGAAACTTGACTGCCCAGAAAGTCAATGAAAGAAAATGACAACAGTGGCTCAACTATAAGTTTTTCAAGCGACGAGAATACTTTTTGTGCGGAAAAACAAACAAAAATAACGACTTTATTCGACTACTCCATTTCTTCCTTGTAGGCCTGGGATGAGAGTTCAAGAGATTTCCACGACGCATACGCGAGAATTGCGATCTCCTTCAACTACTTCAGTTCAGTTCTCACGCATGCGTCGTTGAAATCTCTTGAACTCTCCTCTCAGGCCTACAAGGAAGAAAAGAAATAGTCGAATAAAGTCGTTATTTTTGTTTGTTTTTTCGCACAAAAAGTATTCACGTCGCTTGATAAACATACTTGAGCCACTGTAGTCACACGGAATATTTAAACATTTTCTTCATTGACTTTCTGGGCCGTCAAGTTTCAATCCCTTAGGAGCCTATGTAGCAGTGATCCACCTCTCAAATTTAATCAAAAAATATCTTCATTTGTGTTCCAAAGATGAACGAAGGTCTTACGGGGTTGGTACAGCAATTAATTAATGACTTAATTTTCATTTTTGGGTGAACTAAGCCTTTAAAGAGATATTGAGTTCCAAGACACAATATTTCCAGTGCCTTGTAAGACTGAATGCTGACATTGCTTTATCTCTAGACCCTGGTGCGCTTTGTGTACTCAGTCAGTAAAGGTTACAGGAAGATCACCTACCACAACTGGAGGCATGGCTTCAACGTTGGCCAGACCATGTTTACACTGCTCATGGTAAGAGAAAACTCTCTCAGAATTAAAAAAAAAAATAAAAAATCAGTTTTAGACCTTATTAAGAGGGCCCTAAAAAAACTCATCATCTCAATCCCCTTAAAATAAGTTACAAGTGTTCAGCCTACTAGAGAAACTGTACTCTCATTAACAAACAAACAAGTCATGTTAGCCTTGTAACTAATCATTTGATAAATTTGCCTCTCTGTTTGATGGGTGCTAGAGTCGTGGGCCTTTTTTAGGTAATATGTTTAATGATACGGCCCACCTCCAACACATATCCTCTGAAATGGCAGACCCATCTAATTAATCATCCAAGTGTAAACCTGCTCCTGGTAAAGTCATGTGTAATCACAGTGAATTGGCCGTACATCAGGAAGGATGGAGTATTGGAGCACTGGAAAAAATGAAGGCCAGGCTGCTAATGAACCTTTCTCAGCACTACTCCCATGCTTCACTGAGCCTAATGAGCCCTCACTAGTCAGAGTGTCTTAAGGAGGCTCCGCCTTCAAGCCAATTATATCGGTTCTCATGTTTCTCAGACAGGTGACCTGAAGCGCTACTATACGGACCTGGAGGCGATGGCCATGGTGACCGCTGGGCTCTGTCATGATATTGACCACCGTGGCACTAACAATCTCTATCAGATGAAGTATGTACTCATTACTGTCAACGCACCACTGCTCTTATCAAAGAAAAATGTGTATGTATAACAATATTCAGAAATACTGTTTGACGAGGGTCTTAAATCACCTGTTTTTTTTTTTTTTTTTTTTGAGAAGACACCCATGGAAGTCATGGGTCACATGGTTATCTATGCAGGATAAGACATGACTAAAAAGACGGTCACACTTTAGAATATGGTCCAATTCTCACTATTAACTATAACTTTTGCCTCAATAAACTACTAATTACTGCTTAGTAATAGTTAGTAAGGTAGTTTTTAAAGCTGCAGTTCGTAACTTTTGGTGCTCGAGCAGTTAATAAACAGCCTAATGGTCTAATTCGAATATAAACACTTATTATACGTGCAGACAAGAACATGGTTTGGAAAATGGATTCATTATGTACTTGCTTAGTATATGCATTTTGAAAAGTTATAGACTGCAGCTTTAAGTTAAGGTATTGGGTAGGAATTGTGTAGGATTAAAGGATTAACAATATATGTTTCATCTATATTAAAAGGCAACATTTAGATTTGATTAATTTTAATCATGCTACATTTTCAAGCTGAAATCTCAAATTGCATTATGGTTATTTACATTCAATTTGATTAAAAGTCTTTGACCTTCTGGGTCTTGAGAATCATTTTCTATGATGATTTTGCCAGGTCTGGGAATCCACTGGCAAAGCTGCATGGTTCCTCCATTCTCGAGAGGCACCATCTGGACTTTGGAAAAACTCTGCTTAGAGATGAGGTAATGCTAAATATAAAGTTTAAACTATATTTCTAGACATTTTTCAGAAGGCTTCAGCCATCATTACAATTTTGAACTCTACAGACCATTGAGAATGTACATCTAGTTGATAACTGCCTCCTCACTCACAGCTAGCAGTTTCCTCACTAAAATAATTTGTTTTCCAAGGCCTTAAATATCTACCAGAATCTGAACCGAAGACAGCACGAACTCGTCATCCATTTGATGGACATAGCTATCATCGCAACGGACTTGGCCTTGTATTTCAAGTAAGAAATTTATATTTCAGCCCTGTGGGATATACTTTGTGAATTATTTATTCAGAGTTAAGCCTCGTTCACACCAAGGACTATAACTATAATGATAAAGATATAGTTCCAAAAATCATTATAAATATAAAATAATATCACAGTCCGCATCACACTTACAACAATAATGGCTGAGAGAAACAATATTTTTGGCATCATTTTCAGATTTTTTCCCAGCTGATAAATGATAAAAACATTGACTGCTAATCAGAATCCATCCTGCTTTAACCCTTAAATGCATGATTGTTTCACCAATCATTATTATATATTCAGGTCTTCACCAACCCGAATAAAAATAAAACTCTCCTGATCTTAGAATCATAGTTACAGAAGAATAAAATAAAGCATATTTTGTTACGTTTTGGAGCTTGGAAGGGATCAGTTTGAGCAGATGTTTTCATACCATCATCTCTGTCCTCGTCAGAGCTCTCATTTCCCATTACATTCAGCATCTGTCTCATAATCTGTCTTAAACACATTTATTCTTTTGTTTTTTTACCTGAAACGACACTTCGTCAGACATTACCAGCTTGTGAAATAAAGGTGAAATTCCTCTTATTCAGTCATCAAACGTTCAATTATGATGGTGCAGAAAAAATATACTTACACTGTTACACACCTCGGGTCGTTAGCGACCCTATAGATTTTTTTTTTTTTGGTACAAACAAATGTATGGGAAAACGGGCATTCTTTTATAAATTTTATTTTTAAAAATGTTGTTACATTGTTTACAATGAATTTATTGAGGAATACTAAGAAGGTTGATGTCTAACTTAAAGCTACACTGTGTAACTCTTTTAGCTTATTCTTAGCTAAAAACACTTAGTTCTTTCAAAAATATATGTGCTCATTAATGTATATTTACTTCGTTCAATGAATTCGTTCAAGTATTCTCGTGAGTGTATAATATGCCATAGAAAATACATACGGGTAAGGGGTTCGCCATGTCGGTCGCCATGTTGCCCCTCCATCTTGAAAGTACATTAGCCAAAGAGAGACATACCCGTTAATTCAAGCTTCGCCTTTCGCGTTTACGTTTGAGTTAACACTCATGGACGAGGTCGAACTGGAAGCCATGTTAATCTTGGACTACATTGGCCACCGTAGGAGTTAAAACGAAATCGGAATTGAGAGGAACAGAAACTAATATTCACTGGATGGTCATATACCTTTTCACCGCTAGATGGGGGTAAAAATCACACAGTGTAGCTTTGAATGAGGAGGATGGTAGTGAATGACGTCCCGGGTCACTAAAGACCTGAGATATGCGTTTGAGGCTTAAAGAGCTTGAGCATTTAAAGTCCCTGTGAACCGGAAGTTGCAAACGACTTTTCTCCAGTGTTGTGACGTATTTCAGAGAGAAACGGAATACTAAATGAGGCAAAATAGTGGGTGTGGCTTTTTTTTCAACTAGCACCTGATTGGATCTAGAAAAATGGGTGTTTCATTCTGAAATGGAGGATGACGCAAGTTTACACACGCTGTCAAGCAATGCTCGCTCGGCGCTCGCAAACACACACAGCTGTCAGTTGGAGGGGCGTGGTTATGGATGTTAAGGAGACACCAAAACCGTAAAGCCTACTTCATCGGGCAAGGTCCTCCAATGCAGAGGGGAGGGGCATTTTCAAAATTTGATTAAAGATTACGAAGCCAAAATTTTTTTTTGTGTGGATTGACTTGTATGTATTGTTCACCACAAAACGATCAATTTAGGCAAACAAAGTAAGTATGGTCAATTTTAATTTCATGGGGACTTTAAAGTGCTAGACGCCATAAATGCAGCCTGCGCTTAGAATAAACAGAACAATATTGTGTGTTGGTGTGGACACTAATATAGTTATCGTCCATTGTGTGAACGGCAGAGCTGCATACGCATGATTAACATGAATTTAAAGGGTTAGTTCACCCAAAAATGAAAATTAAGTCATTAATTAATAATTACTCACCCCCATGCTGTACCAACCCCGTAAGACCTTCGTTCGTCTTCGGAACACAAATGAAGATATTTTTGATTAAATTTGAGAGCTGTATAACTACCACATTGGCTCCTAAGGGACTGCCTCTTGACGGCCCAGAAAGTCAATGAAGAAAATGTTTAAATATCCCAAGTGACTACCGTGGCTCAACTATATGTTTATCAAGCGACGCGAATACTTTTTGTGCGAAAAAACAAACAAAAATAACGAGTTTATTCGACTATTTCTTTTCTTCCTTGTAGGCCAGAAATGAGACTTCCTTAGATTTCCACGACGCATGCGCGAGATTTGCGATCTGCTTACACTACTTCAGAGCCGCTCTGCACTACTTCAGATCGCAATTCTTATTATAGTTATACAGCTCTCAAATTTAATCAAAAATATCTTCATTTGTGTTCCGAAGACGAACGAAGGTCTTACGGGGTTGGTACAGCATGGGGGTGAGTAATTAATGACTTAATTTTCGTTTTGGGTGAACTAACCCTTTAATCATGATGCGCCTCCACAGGAAAAGGACCATGTTTCAGAAGATTGTGGATCAGTCCAAGACCTACGAGAGCTGGGACAGTTGGACCAAATACATGATGTTAGAAACAACTCGGAAAGAGATTGTCATGTAAGTGCTGTGAGAAAATCATTGGTTACAAATCTTATACCAACCATAATATTTGTTTGGAAAATAAGCTGATTTATATACTTGCAAAAGAAAATATGCAGCAGATTGAATTTGGTGCCATTTAGGGTTCATAAATATGAATTCACAGCATGGTATTTTGGTTCTCCTCACCGCAGGGCTATGATGATGACTGCCTGTGATTTGTCAGCCATTGCCAAGCCATGGGAGATTCAGAGCAAGGTTATATATTCCTAATGCATAATGCAATGTCACATGCAACGCCTGATACTACAGCAATGTATTCAAACATCTAGGGCAGCCAAGGGTGTGACTGCACAGGAAAATAAAATCGCTGGGCTCTCAGACGGCATAATGAGTCTGAAACCCTATTCATATGATAATGTATCCATGGATGGGTTGTTTACATTCGTTGTTTAACATTCATATGCAATTCATAGCAGACGGCACTGTAGATCATCTCACATGTGTGAGATTATATACATAATACATAAAAAAAAAAAGAATATTGCTTCTTTAAGATGTTTTTTTTTTTTTTGGTAATGCTATTATTATATTCATGAAGTAGATCCAAGAACAATGATGATAAAGCTAGATTTCATAGTTGCAAATGGGACATGTGCCAGGTCTGTTTCAACGGACATTGTTATGGAACGATTTCTGCTTTTTTAAAGTCATTAATGGTCTCTAATGCACAGTTAATATATTTCACACATAAAGTCCATAATTTGCTTCTCTCAAAATGCATCTACAATGAACATAAATCAAAGCTTAATATTGACCGTGGCTACTTGCTCTCTTTCCTGCAGGTGGCGCTGTCTGTTGCTGCAGAATTCTGGGAGCAGGGTGACCTGGAGAGGACAGTGCTGGAGCAGCAGCCCATTGTGAGAGAGCGCCTGGAATGAAGGGGTGGGGGGTGTTTGGGGGGGGGGGGGGGGGGGGGGGGCTGAGAAAAAAGGAATAAGAATGAAAAGTTCCCATGGGTCATGTCGTGATGTACTGCCTATTATGCGGTGCAGTGAATCAGAAAGAGCGGTCACAAAAGCCCAGTCAAACAGACTGCTTCCAAACTCCCCATTTGCTGGGATTGGAAATGCAGAATGTAATTTCAATTTTGGAAAAAGTTCCTCTGAACTTTCTACTTTAGTCTAATGGATCTTCGCCACTACATCTATTCAGTTTGCCTCAATATGTTGTGGGGTTTCATTTTGATACAAATTAAGCACATGCTGTTTTATCTACAGCCCATGATGGACCGGAACAAAGCGGATGATCTTCCCAAACTGCAGTGTGGTTTCATTGATTTCGTCTGTGCTTTCGTTTACAAGGTGAGGTCTTCCATTTTGATTAGTAAACAAAACAACATATGGGAATTCATTGATCTACACTTCAAAATGTTCACAGGATCCAGACGAGAGTCCATCAGGAAGCAGATACATAATCATCAGCATAAATGCACCGCGATGGTCTTGATCAGATGTCTGTATACTTGACTTTTATTGACTGTGAACGTCAGAATGCAGTCCTGCTGGAATTAGAGAATGTGAAGTAAAGACTCTCAGAAATAACAAAAATAAGTCTTGACTGCATTATTCCAGTGTGATGTAGCTTATTTGAATGCAGTTAGAATGTCTTCTAATCTATTTGATAAAAAATCGGAGAGATTTCTGTCCCTCCGTTGACAGCTTCGATGCTTCAAAAAAATTCATAAAAGAGATTGTAAGACTATTTGAATTGATTGGTTTAGTCCAAATTTTCTGGAGAGACACGATCACTTTATATGATGAACAAATTGAGTTTAGGCTTTTATTCACATTAAACATTCATCAACTCACGCATTAATTGTGGTAAACGGAACCTCAAGTATGTATGCTTGACATGCGAGAACCAATGAGGTTCAATCTCGTGTTACGCAGCACGTTTGAGCTTCAACAAGAACCAATGAAGTTCATTCTCATGTAACGCAGCACATTTGAGCTTCAGCAAGAACCAATGAGGTTCATTCTCGTGTTACGCAGCACTTTGAGGTTCCTCAAGAACCAATGAGGTTCATTCTCGTGTTACGCAGCACGTTTGAGCTTCCTCAAGAACCAATGAGGTTCATTCTCGTGTTACGCAGCACTTTGAGCTTCAGCAAGAACCAATGAGGTTCATTCTCGTGTTACGCAGCACTTTGAGCTTCCTCAAGAACCAATGAGGTTCATTCTGATGTTACACAGCACGTTTGAGCTTCATCGAGAAACAATGAGCTTCCATAATACGTTTTTTTTATGATATGGATAGTTAGGATAACAACATCTTGAATGATGTAGAAATTTCTTTATAAATCAACTATTTTACCCACCTCCAATACTCCCCCTTTATTCATGTCCCATCCCTCTTGCAGGAGTTCTCTCGCTTCCATGTGGAGATCACACCCATGCTAGATCGTCTGCTGAACAACAGGAAGGAGTGGAACGCTCTGAAGGAAGAACATGAGGCCAAGTTAGCAAAGCTGGAAGAGGCCAAGAAAGCTAAAGAGGAAGCAGAAGCTGCCGCATTAGCTGCCAGACAAGGTAAATAATAGTGACTCAAGCTGTGTATCAACGTGTCTTAATTGTCATTTTGGGATTAACTATTCCTTTTTGCTCATTTACATGTTGTTTCAAACCTGTGTTATTTGTTCCTTGTGTGGAACACAAATAAGATATGTTGACACTGAAGTGAGGACAAAATAACGCAATAGAATCAGAAAAGTCAATGCGTCTAATAGATTTTTAGTGAATAAAGACTTACATTTCAGTGTTTTTCCCCTCACAAATGCTATCATATGACTTTATATGGACTACTTTTTTGGTGCTTTTTTTTGTCTTTTTGCATTCAATGTAAGGGAAAAAAACAACATGAACATTCTTACACATTTATCCTTTTGTGTTCCACAGAAGGAAAAAAAAAATGGGTTTGAAACTTTCTTTTTTTTTTACAAACAACTGACTATTGTAATTTTTTGCTTTTCTATATCTACATTCTCTCCACACAGCAAGCGCTGGCCAATCCTCATCTCAGTCCAAGACCTGTGTAATTTCCTAGACGTCAAACTGCAAAAACAGACAATAAGAATGTATGACAATGCACCCATAATTTGGGCCACTTTTATTGTTTCTCTATGTAGGATATTACTTTGTCAAGTATTTGCACTAGTCTTGAGCTTAAACACACCAAAGGGTTTTCTTTACTTATAAGTAAATACAACATCAATACATATCCCACACCAGGTTTATGTCATCAACAGATAGTTTTCTTAAAGCTATAATTATCAAAATGTAGTGTATATTGGCTGAAACTGTACAGAATAGAATTCTTACATACTGAATTACATTTTAGAGAGCACTTTGAGAGTCCACATAAACATTTGTTGTTGTTTTTTAATTATTACTATTTATATGTAGAAATAAAAGTGAGGAATTGTTGAGCCAAGCCTCGTCTTTTAAAGCTTTGTAACTGTGTTGGTGTGCAAAATAAGAATTCTGCCCCTAGGATGCAGTATGCTCGGTTGCACTTGTGTATGTGTGTGTGTGTGTGCGTGCTAGTACTAACTGTCCCACTGGGACATACATAACAGTCTTACAAAAGCATTGGATAACACCTAGGGGGTGTTGGCCTAATCGACTGAGGAGGAGGAGAGCTGATTGGCAGGACAGTAAATATAGGCGGACTCAATGCTAGCATTTACGTCATGTCAGACGCAGTCACTCTACGTCAACGACTATGATGTCACATCTTCCGCTACATTTACCCCACTCCCCACAGCAAATAGGTGGAGTTAAGAAAATCTGCAACCACTGCAAAAGCCAAAATAAGCTCAGCCTCTGACGTGACAGCAAATACACACGCTTAGATGTGCACCCCCCACCTACACACACGCAATGCCTTAGGGAATGATTATTCTGACATCCGAATCACAAACCAGCAGAGCGGCAAATTGCCACCAGCTCTCCGAATGGCTGCATTAACAGTGGTCTCATTCAGCATGTTCTGCTACATACCCTCAGTGAAAGGAACCACCACAATTAGCTTTATTTCTAGGCAGTCTGCATGGATACAACACGGAACACCATTTGCTATTGGCTGCCGTTTCAATGCAGTAGCCAATCAAACTGTTTCCAGCTGAGCTGTTCAGTTTACGCAATACGCATTGTAATGGGAGTGACGGTCTTAAAGCAAGTGCTGCTGGCTTTTTCAAAATCCTCTTTTTCAAGTTGCTGTTCAACACTCGTTCTTCTGAGAATAGTATTAGTCCTCTGGAAGGTATTATTGCGGTTTACTGCAGCATTCAATGTTTATTTTTTGGTTTATACAGATAGTAATGTAGTACATTAATGAATTGCAAAGCTGAATGTTCATTATGGATTTTATTTTTTTGGAGGCAAAACAATGAATATATGTACTTTTTTTTACAGTATATGAGGATCAGTTTCTTTCTACAGTTTAATAATGTAAACAATCTCGGAAGAGAAATGTGTTCAGTTTAAAAGGAAGCCATCATTTGCTTTTTTAAAACTATTTACATGAATTAAAATATAATTTATGACATCAAATAATTCCACTATATAGATTTGATCTAGGAAACTAGATTTTAACAATTTAAAAATACTGAAATGCATTTGTCTCCACATTCTCAAGATGTATGAAAATCACACAATACCGAGAGAAAAAAAAAAGTTGAAAAGAAAACCAACATCATTTCAAGACATCCAAACCTGGACAAATATGCAACCTGGAGTGGCATATAAATAAAAAACCTCAAAATGAAACAAATGTGTAAAAATATAAAATCTTACTAACAGTATTTACCAAAACCTACGTTAAAAAAGAAAAATTATAGTGAATTTGATAGTCATTAGATGTAAAGTCCAAAAAAAAAAAAAAAAATCATTTAAACAATACAAAGAAAAAAATATGCCCTTTTGACTAAAACTTTGTTTCCACAAAAGACTAGGTCTTGAAGCAGCAAAACAATGTGACATGGATGTGCGTTTTATTTTCTGATGCTCTGTCATCGTAATGGCAAACTTTAAAACCCCATTCTTGATAAAAATTATCCAAGGTTTAACAAAGACAACATAAACTTTCCCCAAATATAATCTGCCGACTCAATTGGAAAATTCTCTCCAATCCTGCAAGAGCATGTACTTTGTGAACAACAAATTGCAGGGCCATAGATGTAGTGAATTAAAAGTGAAGTTTTGTATGAACAAAAAAAAAAATCAAAGTGGAAAAAATCAAATGTGCACACACGCACGCACGCACACACACACACGCACACAGGGCCAAGCCAAACGATCATGACATTCGTGAAATGGATTTGATGTGATACCGCACTTCTCCTGTATCCAAACATCAAATGTACTTTTTGGTCAACTTGTCTAGCGATTGCTAAAATGAGGGCTGGAAAAAAATGTATTGCATTGAAGAAGGTTCCCTTTGGAAGTTTTTTTTTTTTTTTTTTTAAATCTTTTTTCTTTTATTTTTAATTTGGATCTGTACATTCTAGATTGACAGTGTTGAAATGTATTGAAGTGTTCTGAAACACTGAATAAAATGATCTATAACAAATTATATCATCTATATATTTATCTACACAAACACACAAATATATATATATATGTATATATAATTATATATATGTATATACTTTTTATAATATGGCTGTATTGAAAAAGTTTACTTACTTTAGTAAAGAAAACACATTGGATTGTAAAGGAGATCATATAGGACTGATAGCTTTGTTTTCCCCTAAGGTTTAAGGCTCTCCTTGTGAGATTGGGCTGTCTGTGTATTTTCCTTGAAAAAAGTCCTTAAACACCCACCTTCTTTGTGAACGAACTGAGCCGCCTACAACATACAGTACAAGATCCGATTTCCCCTATACCCCAAAAACAACCAATCTCGTCAATGAGAAAGGCTCTCCTAGCGATATTGCATCTCAATTGCATAAAAAAGAAAAACATGTTAAAGTAATTAACAAGAACCATTTCTAAAGGGACACTTTATACAACAGTGTTTGACTTATGAAGCCATTTCAATGAAAATTCCCTTCTGGATCTCCCTGTATTGCTTAATCATCAGGTTCACCAACAACCAATCAGAATCACCATTTAAAACCACACGTTTACCACATCGCTGTACAGCACATAACCATACATCTCATGTTTACACAAGACACAGTGCTATATACACATTATATACTTCTATATATATATATATATATATATATATATATATAAAATCATGTAAACCAGCACATCTCTCACTTAGTATACATACTAAGGACAAACACTCATTCAGTTTGTTTTCTCAAGATCTTATTGGGCGAAATGGTCTGTAATATTCAGAGGCCGCGTCCTAGTTACAAGCCCAGTACCGTATAAGGGAAAGCCGAAAGGCACGTCCTGATAGGGTACTTTAACACTGAATAAGGCGTTCTGTACTTAGTGTGCGCTCTAGTAAAAGTCGAAAGAGAATTCAGTCATGTAAACATTCAGGTCTGGGGGGTGGGGGTGTGTTTCGGGATAAAGGGGAGAGGCAGGGAGCAAAGAGCCGATGGACGGCCCTCCCTAAGCCGGCACGCGCGTACATGCGCACGCTCGCTCACAACTGCACTAGATCCACAGGCCGAGGGTTCGAGGAGACCCCCACAGAATAAAAGCAACGGGTCCCAGCATATAATAAGGGATAGAGACCCATCCCTAGACCCCATAAAAGACACGGACGACACGCAGTTATACACTGGTACACGTTTAGACACGTTCAAAAAATACACGCAGAGGACAAATAGAGAAGTAGCCACAAGGTAAGAGCTAGAAAAAACCCGCAGATCTTCCCGTCAGAAAGGAGAGAGTAAAAAAAGAGTGTTTGAGCTTAGAGAGAGAAAGAGTATGAGAGAGTGACATGTAAACAAAGCAGAGATACGACCGTAGTATCTCTAATGAGATTGAGCTCTGGAAAGATCTTCCTCCAAGTTTACCGCCACCCTTCTCTCAACCGAATGAGTCGACTGCCTGGATGCCGGTCAGGGCTATGCTACTGGCAGAGTCCAACCACTCAACTGTACTTTCAAATCAAGACCAATAGGATGGGCATTACAATCGCATTTGTGATGGGTACATTCCATTTCTCGGGAAAACCTTTCTGTCACCCTTTGGATTGGGCAAAAAAAAAAAAAAAAGTTAAAGGTGAAGAGTAATTTCTGGGTCAAAAATTGAAAACCGGTTAACAATTGGTCAACCAAATATATAGCCCCACCCTCAAACTCACACCATTGGCTGTGTGAGGCTGCTCAAACAAACAGAGTAATATTTTGATACACTTAGCAGGATTTGTGATTACTTGAATGTCTTCATTGGATAGGAGAGAGTATTTTAATGTAAAAAAAAAAAAAAGAGCTTTAAGGTAGTACAGTCAGGCTTGGACTCCAGTAGCAAAAGCCCCTCCCACAGCAGAGGAGGGTAGAGGCCAGACCAAAGAAGCACTACCTCGTTTGAGTGCATAGATGAAATCAAGGAAGCACTAAAATTACAAAAAGACTACTTTTTTTCTTGACTTTTTGATTTGTAAACTCTACCTTGTAGGATTTTTTTTGTTTGTCGTTTTTTCCACTTTTCATCATAACACACGCGCGCACACACACACAGAGTTGAACATCCACAAAGTTTTGCTAATACAAAGCAGTTATTGTTTATATATTTGTACGACAAAATGGTGAAAGCACCTTGCAGGTCTATGAAGAGAAGACAAAAGGGGTACGAAAGAAAAAAAAGAAAAAAAAAAAAAAGACACGCACGTCACAACTACCAATGGAAAAGAGTGCGGTTTGCTACGAAGCCCGAGCCGCTCGCGACGTCATGAATGGCATCAAACACACGAGAGAAGCAGCACTTGTGTCCGGTGTCTCAGAGCCGTTTCTGTTCATTTGTAATCCTCCCGCCCCAATGTCCTCCGATTCCTCAGTTAGAAGTGACAAGGTCTATTTTTTTAATCCAATGTTCAAAATGTAAACATGAAGAAGTGCCTTGGATTGAGGTGCTGAGGCGAGTCTCGGACGAGGCGTGACGCTGGAGGCGTGGTTGAGCTGTGTCAGCGATGCAGGCTTCTCTGGGCCTCTTTCAGCAGAGCATCAAAGTCCAGTGCATCATACTTGCTCTTCACCGGACCTGGACCCGCCTCGTCTGAACAGAAAAACACTCGCAGTTAGTTTGTAACACTAAAGAAATCTGCCAACATTTAAAATTATATTTGGTTACAATATATATATATATATATATATAGTAAACTAATTCTACATATTATTATATTATATTTATTATATTAAGTAATAAAATACAACAAATTATATATAATTGTGCAGACAGAATAGCAAAATAATTTTAAAAAAGGAGAAAAAAATCTTCTCGTATTGTTTGGTTGGTGTTT